CCGCTGCTCGCGCCTCCCGCGAGCCCTCTCGCCTCCTGCGAGCCCTCCCGCGAAGCCTTCCCGCTGCTCGCGCCTTCCTCTCCCTTTCCCTTTCCCGCTGTCGCTGCCGCCGCTCGCCGCCACTGCTGCCGTCGCTGCTGCTGCCGCCGCTCGCCGCTGCTTCCTCGTTTCTCCGTCAGCAGGTTTATATTGTTAATGTGATTATATTTATTAATTATATTATATATTTTTTATATTTTTATTTAAAATTTTAAATAATTATATTTATTAATTATATTTTATATTTTTATATTTTAGCGCCTCGCTTCGCTCGGGCGAGCGCCTCGGGCGTTTTTGGACCTTGGCGCCTTTTGGCGCCTAGCGCTTTTTAAATCACTGCTCCGAGGAATATATGGATTTCTCTCTTTCCAATCAAATAGTGTGAAGGAGCTCTTGGGATTTATTTTCTTCCATTTGCATGGCACACTTGATTTAGAAGCTCAGAAATTAAAATTTATTATAACTTGAAACATGTCTGTTCTAATTCAATATTTGTGGTATTTTTTAGGTTAGGATGCATGTTTCTTTTGAATATATATAAAATCAAATTCAATTAGAAAATAGGTTAGCTGCATAGCACATTCCAAACTTGTACAGCATAGTCTCTTTATGATGGACCTGACATCACACACGAGTTGTATCTGCTGCTAGTTGGTAAAAGCAGCAATTCATATGTTCGTAAAAAAGCAGTAATTCATATTTCATACACTCAGCACCTAAAGAATAGGTAGTTAGATCTTGAGATGATATCAATCACCCCCATTCGAGCAGCTGTCTTTTTCGGGCATCTTTATTTGGTGGCTCAAGCTGTAGCTTTTTGGCTAATGAAGCCTAACTTTAGCTTATTCTTCTGAATCTTTGAATATCACTCATTGCATTAGAATTTTAGTAGTGGTTATTATTTACGTGTTACAATGTCACTCTGTTATCACAGGTGAGGGATGAACTTGAACATTTACTGGATGATGACATGGATATGGCTGAGATGTACCTAACAGATAAGCTTGCTAATCAGCGAGTTGGTGAAATTTCATCAAGAGTTAACTTGGAGAATGATGCATCTGAGCAGGAGGATGATGGGTAAGCTGTTGTTGGTTTTGTGGAGAGGGATTATACATAGAGAGATAGTTAGAGAATCAATTATTTTTTGTTGTTCAGCATTCTGCTTCTACATTCGCAGTAATGAGATAACTTCAACAGAAGTTGGTCTTGTAGCCCTATTTTTTTCTTCTTGGTTATATACATTAAACTAGCTGTACAGGTTCTGACGCATGTTGTAATGCATGTAGTAAGTGAAGGGGCATTAATTTTCACAATTTTATTTTCTCAAATGGGACTGTGTGAACCACATCCAATTGGTTATTGGCATATACAGTTTCCTTAAAGGAATGCAAGTTTCGGGCATCTCGACTACATGGCTTTGGTCACCAAAAAATTGGTTATGACATCATGATTATAATTTGACGTTTAAGAAGCTATTTAGTGCTGCTATTCATGTTTTCGTTAGTGGCAATTTGAGCTCGAAAATTCTTCCTATTATGTTGACATATTTCTGCTCTGAGATTGACCCTGGATGGCTGCTAAGTGCTACTCAAAGATGGGTAGCATAATCAAGGGCCAAAAGCTAAAACTTACTGATTCCAATTTCTTTATATTATTATAGCTTGTTTTTATTCGTTAGAGTAGTTGCACCATAGCTTGTGTGATATTGCAAAGGGATTTTAGTTCATAAAATCCCTTTGCATCTAAGTTGCATAAAATGGTTGGCTAAGCTTGTTTAAGTTTGTGGATTTGAGTAAAATCTCATAAAATTTCTCTATTTAGTTTAGTTGCTTTGATAAACTCTCCTATGAAACTTCTTTTTAGGCATAAAAAGTCCTTTACATGAGATCATATGCATGTTCAGGGATGATGAGTTCAGAGTTGAGACAGATAGCAGCCATGAAAGTTTAGGAGTCTTCAAGCCTAATATTGAGGAGTTAGAGATGCTTTTGGAAGCTTACTTTGTGCAGATTGATGGCACTCTTAACAAGCTATCTCATGTATGTTTTCCTTCCCCTTAACATAATCATCAAGTTTATGCTTTAGTTGCTTTGAATGTATAGATATTCTTTGTCACCAATACAATGTCTCGAAGCCATTTATAATTGGGCAAACATTGACTTTATGAAATGTCAACATTGGTTGTGAACTGATGGTGCACAACTAATGGTGAACAAACATCACTACGAGAAAAAAGACTTGTCATAATTGGAGACTTGTTTAGGCCTTTTCATATGGGTTTGTCTTCATAATTCTGAGATCCTTTTGTGCACTGTTTGGCATGTCAATAATAACAAGATGCTTGTCTGCATCAAATAATATCAAGATTGGTTTATAACGTGTCATAATATTTCCTTTCTCCAATTACAGATCTTTTTGTTTTAGTGTTGATTGTTTCAGAACTATGATATATCATAAGGTCAAAAACATGCTTCAATTTGTTACCTCTGTAAATATCTCCTTACTGTAATTAACATCCTTTTCATTCTATGCACTGAGAACTTCACTTACCAAATTTTGTTTTTGCCACATGTGCAAAGTTGAGGGAGTATGTGGATGACACTGAAGACTATATCAACATTATGCTGGATGAAAAGCAGAATCAGCTGCTGCAAATGGGAGTCATGCTGAGCACTGCAACGGTGGTGACCACGGCTGGTGTCGTGGTTGTAGGTCTCTTCGGTATGAACATCGGCATCGATCTCTACAACGCGCCCTACCGCAAATTCTGGGAGACGACTCTGGGCACCATCATCGGCTGCGTGATCCTCTATGTTCTAGCAATTGGGTTTGGGAAGAAGAGTGGGCTGCTCCAGTGACAACAAGGTTTTGTTTCGGGTTGCAACCGAGAAGGTGCTCAACAATCTCAATCCTGAATGATGTTTCCCCGAAAGTTTTCTCCTTTGAAATGGAGTACTGCAAAAGCCCTTATTGACGACACTCCAAGCTCGACTTGAGTGCTTCTACCATGGCAAAGCTATACTTTTTTCGCCCTTATTCTCTGGCTAACACAATTCTGACAACAATTTAGTAATTTTTCAGTTATTTAGATTGTTGAGGATTCAAATATAGGTTTCTGCAAAGTTGCTGTAACTCTTTTTTCTTATAAAACTCTTCACACTATTTCTTCTATCCCTCCACACTGATAATTTAAATTGCATGCTATAATTCTTTTTTCCTGGAAAATATACCTGTGATCGACCAAATTGGCTATCAAATGTTGCTATGGGAAATGGTTTTTTGCTGTTCTTGACGGGATTATAATGCAGGTCATGAGTCAATTTAGGAGCCCAGCCATGAAGAGCTCATGCTTTGCTTAAGTTCTTGTCACATCCTCTTCATCTTGAACTATACCAATAATACAAATGAACGAGCTCTCAGAAATATACGATAGATTAGTGTATTGGTATACAAGTGATTGGACTTTTATATGCATATTAAGATTTGGGGATCGCATTTAAGTGGATTTGACTCTCAATTGCATATTATTTTGGGGGACATCGAAATGGGACCGGTCGGTTGTTTTCAATTCGAACCGGACCGATCTGATTGGATCCGGTTGACCTACATCGCGAATTTTGACAAGGTTGTCTCGGTCCGATGAGTCAAACCTGGCCTCGGCTCATTGGGCTACACTTGACCCGTGACTGCCTCCTGGGGTTTTATTCCTCCCGTGGAGAAGCCGCAAAAGGGCACAGAAGGGTTCGGCCGCCGGAAGGGGAAGGAGATGGCGAGCGAAGAGGAGAGCACGGTGAAAGAGCCTCTCGATCTCATCAGGCTCAGCCTCGACGAGCGCATCTACGTCAAGCTCCGCTCCGACCGCGAGCTACGAGGAAAACTTCACGTAAATTACCCATCTCTGAGACTTGCTCTTAATCCCACTGTTCGATTCCTTTCTTTTTCTTTGGATCGTCATCGCCAGCGGTGGTGGTTGTTTGGACTTTTAGTTTGTAGTCTATTCTCTTCTTTTTCCTCCTCCTTTTGCACTGATTATTTGTTGCTGCAACAATCTAGGGTTACATGCGTGAATTGGATCTTAGTCCTGCAGAAGCGTGACGAGGTCTTTCTTTTCTATGTTTTGTGGGTTTTATATATGAATAAACTTTGAGATGACGCACTTTGACTCAATCAGATTGGAAATTATGAGAAGAAATATCGCAGCACTTTTTTGCCGAGGGGAGGAATTGGTTCCCAATTTGGTTTTAGTCTTTGAATCACAGCCCTAAATTACTCCAGAAAATTGAATCCTCGTAGATTCAGAGTTTGCTTACTTGGCTAACCGACTTCTCTCATGTGTATCTCGATTCATTGTAGGGGATTAAAATAAGCTTTTTTTTAATGAAAAGATGGATATGGAAATCTGTTATCCTATTGAGGCTGTTTCTAGTTTCTTGAGGTCTTCGGTGTTACACATTGAGTTATAACTTGTTGACTAGTAAAACCTTGTGGTTTTCCTTTGGGATCTTTGATGTTAAACTTTAGTTATAATTTGTTGACTTGTGGAAAATTGTGGTTTTGAATCTCAAAGACTGCATGAGGGTCCTTTTGATATGTTCAAATATTGAAGTGTCCATGAGCTAGGGATTTTTGTTCCAAATATGTAAAACAAAACTATGTTGCTCCTCCCTTATCATATTTTTTTCCCACTTCAATGAGTTTTCAATGGTTACCTCTTATTTTAAGTTGGTGTGGAGAACTGGATTGACTTCATTCATTTGTAATCTGGATATTTTAAAACACAATCATTTATTTCATAGGCAAAAGATTGTCAATTGGATTCTAAATTCTTGGAACTTAATTATTCACGACACATATGTGTCCGTGTTCTCCACCCTCTTCTTCACAAACTCCATATGTCATTCCTTGCTCATGCTGATTCCATTTTCATCTGCCCTTTTCATATACCATCCCCTACATGCATACCATGGTTCTGTGCTTATATATGGAGAACTTATCTTGTATTTAAATATCCATATATAAGATATTCCAAACTCTGTTGATTCCATGGGCATTGCATGGACTTTAACTCAAATCTTTTGTCATAGATATTCATGCTTGTAATTTTTCATTCGTCTAAGTACCAATGATCTATTTAACTTTTCGTTAACTATCTGTCCTTGTTCTTAAAGTTTTACACTCTTTAATTTAAATTGTTTTCTCTTTATGTTTTCTGTGCATCAAATCGGGTTTAAATTACTTTGTTATGGAAAAAAATGGAGTTATGTGTTGCTTTAGACGATTTATAGTTGGTCATTTAGGTAATTGAAAAAGGAAATCTTTGTCATTCCCTTCCCATTGGTTAATCTTTTTCTATTTCCATTTGCATAGAAACTTCAAAATGATTGTTGCACTAAGTTTGGTTTCACACAACTCTATAATTTTTCTTTTCTTTTGCCTCAGTACAAACACTTATAAGTTACCAAATATTCCCTTTATTTAATCCTCACCTTCAATGTTGTAGCACAGCCATTTGAATTTCAAGATGACTATTGCTTCTTAATGAATGGCTTAAATTCAATTTACATGCAGTGACTATATCTGTGGAAACTCTTACTATTTGTTGTTAACTTATTCATTTCATGCTCTTACATGTACTGAGTTTTCTTCTGTTTCAGGCTTATGACCAACATTTGAACATGATACTCGGGGATGTTGAAGAGATAATAACTTCTGTGGAAATTGATGATGAGACTTATGAAGAGATTGTTCGCGTAAGTTACTCCTGCTTGTATCTATTTTTCCCTTCTCAAATCCAAGATGATAACTGTCCCATCCAACAAAGAAGAAGTGCTAATACATAAAATTGTCCAAGCATGTCATTTTTGCCTTTCTATAGTCTGACTTAGTAAAATTTTATTTACTTATCCTATTCTGCTTCTAGTGAGTTATTTACCTATCCGATTATGATTCTAGTGTGCTATGTACTTATTTGGTTATGATTCTAGTATGTTATACCAAGAAAATTAAAAAAATAAAATAAAATTCCATCCATATTAGGATCATGTATTTCACACAAGCATGCTGAGTCTCATGCATATGGATATACCTGAACTTCATGCTTGAACATACATACATGATATGACAAACACTAGCATTTAGAAGGGTTCAGGAGGAAGGTATGTTATTGGAGGCAGGGAAAAAATAAATCCAGATTTGTGGAATCTGGGGAGAAATTAAGTGGAATAGACGGGAAGCAGCAGGAGAATGTTGATGGGGTACAGTAAAAATAAACATGTAGAAAAGGGAGAATTGTTTATCGGGGTTGGTCAAGGTGGAACGGTCATTTGTGCCATACATTGATCAAGCAGAAATTTTTTTATCTCTGCTCTTCAAATTGATCATACATGATATTTTGGGCCCATTTCCGACTAGGGTTGTGTTTTAACAAATTTGAATGTTCAATCCCCACGAACAATTGCAACATTTTTTGGTGGAGCCATTATGCCTAGTATTTTGCATAATTACATCAAAAAACTGGTATAGGTGTCTTAAGACACACATTCTCAACTTTGAGATTCTGAAGTACTTGTATCTTAATTATCTCTTTAATCAAATCGTAGAAGTTGTTTTTATTTATTGGATCTGCTTCATTTCTTCTGATCCTTAATGAATTATTCCGTTTCTTTTTGCAGACCACCAGACGAACTGTGCCATTTCTTTTTGTCCGAGGTGATGGAGTCATTCTAGTTTCTCCACCTCTTAGGACCGCATGAGCGCCTGGTGAAGTATATGCCTTTGCCATGCACAATTTCGTGATCAGTTATCAGTAGTAAACTATTCACAATAGCTGTCTCCATGGCGTGTTTTTGAGTCAGGTTAAATGTTTGTGGTGAGACCTCGTTCTCCAGTTTTAGTGGAACAGCTGAATTTAGTTGTGCATCATGCAAGCAATTATTATGGTTGTCTGAATATTTATGGTATCAAGCAAGTTGTTGTTGGTAATGTTCATTGGTTTATTGCAACTGACCTGATGTTTTTGCATCAATTACTATAATCTTTATATGCAGAATTTATGTATGTTGAGGGTCATTCACCTCCATTTGTCTTTGCCATGCTTGAGCTTGTCTCAACTGTCGACTCTCACTCAATATGACATGAACAGGAGGACTACATTCAAGCATTGCATACATAACATGCTGAACATATCTTTTATATTATTACCCCTGTTGCAATGAAAACATTCTCATTGCTTTGGGCACTGTTGTATTAGACACCAACAGAAAGAATAAGACAGTAACATAGCTTGATTCTTAGACTTACATCAAGCATTATTTTTGCATCATGTAAGCAAATAACCTAAAGACTTAGTTGATCTGAAGACACCACTTCATACCTGGTGCAGAATATAGTAGTAACAAAGCCAATAACAATGTCCTCCACAATGGTAGAGGCTGAAGACATGGAGGAGGTCATCCACTGATGGACTTCAGTCAGGCCTTGTTCGCCTTCAGAACCTTCGCCTTCTCCCACGTGAAGTCAGGATCGTCACGGCCAAAATGCCCATAGGCCGCAGTCTTCTGGTACCTCAAGTTGCCACCCCTCTTCAGGTCGAGGTTGATGGCGATCATCCCCGGCCTGAAGTCGAAGTTCTCCTTGATCAGTACCAGTATATCTTGATCGGCTATCTTCCCTGTCTTGTAGGTGTCCACGAACACCGACAGCGGCTCCGGCACGCCGATGGCGTATGAGATCTGCACGATGCACCTCCGGGCCAGCCCAGAAGCCACCACGCTCTTGGCGGCCTGCCTCGCGATGTAGGCGCCGCTGCGGTCCACCTTGGTCGGATCCTTCCCCGAGAACGCGCCGCCGCCGTGCGCGCCCCACCCGCCGTAGGTGTCGATGATGATCTTTCGTCCTGTCAGGCCTGCGTCGCCGTGAGGCCCGCCTATGACGAATCGGCCCGACGGGTTCAGGTGGAAGATGGTCCGGTCGTCGATGTACTTGGCAGGGATGACCGGTTTGATGACGTGCTCTTTCAGGTCGGCGGCGATTTGCTCGTTGGTGACCGACTCGTCGTGCTGGGTGGAGATGAGGACGGTGTGCACCCGGACGGGCACCATGGCGCCGCCATCGTTCCGGTACTCGACGGTCACCTGCGTCTTCCCGTCCGGCCTGACCCACGGGCAGGTCTTGTTCTTGCGCACCTCCGTGAGCCGGGCGCCGATCTTGGTGGCCAGGACGTGGGTCAGCGGCATCAGCTCCGCGGTCTCGTCCGTGGCGTATCCGAACATGTGGCCCTGGTCACCGGCGCCGATCTCCTCCGGCTTCTTCGTCAGGTGCCCGTGCACGCCCTGGGCGATGTCGGGGCTCTGCTCCTCGATGTTGACCAGCACCTTGCAGCGGTCGGCGTCGAGGCCGACGTCCGCGGAGACGAAACCGATGCCGCGGCAGGTATCGCGCACGATCTTCTCGTAGTTGACCTTGGCCTTGGTGGTGATCTCACCGAACACCATGACCATGTTCGTTTTGGTGCAGGTCTCGCAGGCCACCTTGCTCTCAGGGTCCTGTTCCAAGCAGGCATCGAGTATGGCGTCGGAGACTTGGTCGCAGAGCTTGTCGGGGTGGCCCTCATTGACGGACTCCGAAGTGAACAGAAAGGTATCCATCTGCACATTATAAACACAGTCATCGGCCATCAATGAGACCTACAAAGCACACACAAACCAACCTTATTGAGAGAGAGAGAGAGAGAGAGAGAGTTAGAGCTCGTCTTCCTTGGCGTTGGAGAACAAAGTAAGAGAGGAGGACTTATAAGTAGGAAGAAGAAGTCCCAACTGAAAAGGGGGAAGGATGCTTTAAACCGTGCATAAGATCCCGTGCGACTCGCTCCTTCTTCACCTCTTCTTGCCCAATTAATAACTTGTCCCATACTGAAGCCACCCGTTGGGATACCCTTTCTCGGACTGGTGGAAAGGTTACACGTGGGTGTGTGTTCATTACGGATTTGTGAGGAAGTGACGTCGCAGCTATCTGTGAGTGAGTTGGATAGGGATCGGGTGCAATCCGAGAATGCCTCTAATGTCATCCACGTCCGATGTTGAAACAGCTGACAACCATACATTGGCTCCTCTGTCTCACGAGGAGAGAGAGTTTTGACTAAATCCATCTAAATAGCGGACCACTAAGTGTTTATATTATATATATATATATATAACCTAAGATTAAGACAGTTAATCTTCACATTGTGGTGTTTTTGGGAGGATATGTTATAAATATAAATAAATATATATATATATATTTCTTTATTAAGACAGATGGATAAACGATTGAGATCAAAAGCAGGAATGGGATGGACGGTTGAGGGCTTATGGGTTGGATCTCAACCATAAATAACGGAAATGTTGAAGGACGAGGCGCAGCCTCCCGCCCTCTCCTCGCGTCACGCCAGCGACCCGCTCGGCGCGGCGAACCCGATCCGCCATCCTATAAAGCCCGTCCCCCCACAACCTCCCTCTCAGTCTCTCACTGGCGAAGGCATCCTTCGGAGCCGCGACCATCACTTGCCGACCTCTTTAGGGTTTTGATTTCTTCCGCCTCGAGGTAAACTGCGATGCCTTCCTCTGTATTGTTTCTTCTCCACCCGCTCTCGAGGCGGATCTGTTGCTCGGTTCTTGGATTCGTGAATCGCTGGTTTGGAAGGATTGTCTTTCTTCCATTTATTTGTTCGACCTAACCCACATGTAATCATGATCGGTGAGCATCGCGATGTTATTCTTGATCCAATAGAACTATTCTTGGCGTTTGGTTGGAGAAACTAGATGAACGATGGACTCCCCTGGTTCTGGGTTTGTTGATCTGACCGAAGAGAATGATTTGGGATGCGGCGACGGATGTTTGGCGTCCTGGATCCACATTTCCACTCTTCGTTTCCTCCTTACTCTTTTGAGATATCACTCTCACGTTTATTGAGCTTTTGGGGTCAGTGATTCTGGAAGTATTGGCATGTTGGAATCGTGTTTATCGATTGAATAAGGGGAACATAAGGATTCATTTCCATGAGCTCTTTTACACGATGATACCATCTGCGCAATTTCCAAGCATGACAAAGTCCAACTAATGAATGTAAACCTAGTTAGAAGATTATAAGCTTGCCTATATAGTAGTGATAACCAGCTCTGCTAACATACATAGACTCTTCTGATAAGCTTTTCATCTTCTCAAGTTTTAGATATTTTACATAGATGCATGTTGCTGCCTTTCTGGGATTTTAAATGATACATGAAACAGCCCTGAAGATGATCTGAAGCACATTTGATCTAATACCAAGACCATTTCTCACAAGAGTGTTACTGCAGAATGAAAGAGGTTGCTCTACAATTTAATTACAGACCATAAAAAAGGTAAAAACAAAAACGCATGAGAAGTGTAGGAAACAAAAAGGACAACTAAATAATCTTCTCAAGTGACCAAGCTTTAATTCACCTTTGGATTCGTTGACAACACAAAACAGGAGTTTTAATGGCGAGAAAACTATATCCGGTATGGTGAAGTTCTAAAGTGTTGGACTTATGAAACAAAATAATAGATAATTTTCCTAATTGCAAGTTAACTGTTCTACCTTATAGGCTACCATATATGGCAGTAGCTCAGAGATCAGTCATTTTTTGAGGTAGGAAAAATTATGTGTTGAATCTTCTGTTTTCGGCCAGGAAATTTTTTATTTGCAAACCGGGCTAAGGTATAAATCTCTTCAAATACTATATTTATATTTTTAAGAGTTTCCATAAAGAAACTTTTAATATGAGTACGTTCTAAAGGTGCAATAACATGCTGTGACCTGCTTTTCATTGTAGAAATATGAGTGAAGGGGATGAGACTGCATCAACAGAGAATCACGCAGCTCCACAGCTGAATGAAAGGATTCTATCATCTATGTCAAGGAGATCAGTAGCTGCACATCCTTGGCATGATCTTGAAATAGGTTATTACCCGATTCAAGAATAGCAGTAACATGTGCATCTAGTAATTTGAAACAGCCTAATTTTTCTGACTAAACTGCAGGTCCCGGTGCTCCTGGTGTGTTCAATGTTGTAAGTATTCTTTCAACTGATACCATGTATGTTCCTCACATGAAACCAAATCAAATGTCAAAGATGAAAATAGTGGTTTTACTAGACAAATGACAACTGATGCCAGGTATTGGGCACTCATCAATGTCATCAATTTTATTATGGGCTTCTTGAGAAATGCCGCTTTGGTAGAAAGATGGAGCTTTAGAGTACTTATCGTTTTAACAACAGATGAAGAAAAGTTGAGTGGGAAGAAGTTGAGAAGAAAAAGCAATGCGTTAGTCTTAAAAGAGGATTATGCTGCATTGTTTGTGCTAGCAAGTACCAATTACCCTAAGTGAAACTAAAGATAGAATACTAACACCAGCAGATAGGTAGATATTAACTAAAAAGAAAAAAAAAACAAAAGCCATGTATAATTTTCTAAGAGACTGCACTAATTTACATGACTTGATCAATAGTCTATTATTTCACTCACTATTGCTCTTTATTTTTTCAAATAATTTCATAAGATTCTGTTGTTATCTAGTTGATGTTATTTGTTGACATAGGTGGTGGAGATTACCAAAGGAAGTAAAGTTAAATACGAACTTGACAAGAAGACAGGGCTAATTAAGGTGTGTATATCCTCTTACAACAATCTCCAATATTTGAATCCAACAAGATTCTGATGAGCAAATTTCTCATTCCTTTTATGTGGACTCTTTTTATCTATTATTCTATTGTCCAATGTCTTTCTGCTGATACTACCCAACTGCTGGATGCTTCCCAGGTGGATCGGATCCTGTACTCATCAGTAGTCTACCCTCATAATTATGGTTTCATTCCTCGCACACTTTGTGAAGACAGTGACCCACTGGATGTTTTGGTTCTGATGCAGGTTACATGGAATCCTACTTCTTAAAGCCATTGTAATCTATTACTGTAGATGTGCTGCTTTTTCTAACTCTTCTTTTATGATGCCAATGCTCACTAGTAACTGCTTTTTTTTTATTAATGGCAGTAATATTTATTTCTTGTATAATCAAACATTTGGCCAGGAACCAGTTCTACCTGGATGCTTTCTACGAGCCAGGGCCATTGGTCTCATGCCTATGATTGATCAGGTAGAGATTTGAATGTAAAATAAGCTGTGTATATTATTACTACTCTAAAGCAAGACTAAGACCAGTAGTGTGCTTGGAACTCAGGGGGAGAAAGATGATAAGATCATCGCAGTTTGTGCTGATGATCCTGAGTATCGTCACTTCAATGACCTCAATGAGTTGTCCCCTCATCGTCTTAATGAGATTCGGCGCTTCTTTGAAGACTGTATCCTGTCAAGCCCATTTCTTTTATGTATCTTTCAAGCTTTACATCAGGGGAAAAAAATTTGCTATAGTCCTTGACAAGTTCTTCAGACAAAAAGAATGAGAACAAAGAGGTTGCAGTCAATGAATTCTTGCCTGCAAACACTGCTCGAGAAGCCATCCAACACTCAATGTAAGTTGGCTCAAATATAATGTACCAGCAAAAGAAACGTGAAATTGTTGCCCAATGAATACTGTTCCAGTTTGTAAAACTCCTCATGATAAATAATAGCTTATGTTGACAGGTTGATTTTGGTGTCTAATGAAGTTGACGTTGAATACTTGCAGGGATCTTTATGCTCAGTATATCCTGCATACCTTGAGGCGGTAGACTGGTCGCCACCCTGTTTTCAATACTGCTTCCGTGCATGGTGAAATGGAAGGCTAAGATTATCCTATCATTTATCTTATGATTTTTGTGGCTTAAGCAAAATTAAGCATTGAATCTTCGTTTTTGAGTTTATGTTGATTAAGTTTTTCTCGTCTCCGGCCAAGCTGCTGGGATTGGGTTGAATATTGCAATAAGATGATCAAGTATTTACCTTATTTTTATACACCATAAGAGTTCCAAGAATCACGCAAGCAATACATTTTTCATATACAAGATAAAGCTGCATGGTTGTGATGGTAATGATTATACTTTCTATCATGGTATGTAGTACCGAATAGTACTGTCCGGTACGGGCGGTACATACCGATCCGATAGCATACCGGTACGTACCTCTACAATGCTACAGTATTACACTGTTGTAGCGCTACAGTGCTACAGTGTTATACTGTAGTAGTGCTATAGTGCTCGGTACGTCCTGGTGTACCGCTCGGTATATCGATACCGTATCGTACCGAGCCAACCTCGAAACATTGGTACAGTACGGTATTGCATACCTTGCTTTCTATTACCAACTAGAGGAATATTTAATGCCTATTTTTTGCTACTAGCTGCTTTCTATTACCAACTTTGACTTTGTGAGATGACATTTAATCTGCCAGTAAAATATCTCCTAACAGTGACCCAAGTCCTGGATTTAGCAGGGAAGTTTGTGAACGGATTGGTCCTTGTATTATATTTTAATTATGCTTTTGGCTTCTATTAAATGGTATGGAATGATATATGATATCATACTAGTTCTGTAAATTATTGATATCACTATTGGATCAATATATAAAACTTTGGTTGTTATTTCTCTATCTAATTGACTTGGCAGGTGCTAAACAATCAAAATATGGGAGCAAATTTGTAAACAATCATCTGATAGCTTAAAAGTACTTGTGTTGATTTCTTTCTTTGGCAGGAGAATTCAAAAACTCCCAAGTTTTGAAAGAGAGTCATTTAAGTTAATGTTTTCATTTTGTGTCTTATAATGATATATAATTGAGATTTATATTTAATATATTCGTATTTCACATTATGGTTAACATCCATTAGATTAAGAATGATAATAAAAAATATCTCCTTTTCATAATTATAGATACCACCTTTCCCTAAAGTATTATTTAGATTTCCACTATTAAACAAAATGAATACATTGTTTTTATCCAACAACATCTTCTCTAACATGATGTATATACATGGGATGATAAATTCACAAGTATCTGGTGCTCATGCATGTCAAACCCAAATTGGCTTCCAAGGAAAGGAAAATGATTTTGACCAATGCACTTGGAGTTGCATTAGTTCAATTACCAAGCTTAACATAAGCGCTTGTTGCAAGTTTTGCTTCTATGTTTACAGGTGAGAAGATTGATGATCATTACATGTTACAAGACCAGTTGAATCTAAGATAAACATCTTTAAGTTAAGCATTGTTCTCCTCGGCGGCATGGAGTGCTTTGATTTCCTCCACATCATCATAGCTGCCAAGAAAGATTGGGGATCTCTGGTGAATCTTTGTGGGAACCAAGTCAAGAGCCTGCATGAAACATGAATCAACTTGTGATAGCGCATCAGGTACTATCTATTTACATCACCATATCAGCTAGACTGGTGGTATACCATTATTGTTCATTCCATAGCATATGGATGATAAGTGGAATGTGAGATGAGAATTCATGCATTGCCATGTTGTATACAATAACTTGTTACTGTGCAATTAAATGCTGTTTGATGAGTTCATGCCGATCATTAAGTCAATCCATTAGTTTGCTTCTCTTATTTCTTCCTGCTCTAGTCCTCTGGAGTTGTTCAATTTACAGTTCAACCTTAGCCAGTAAGAAGGTACATGTCCATGGGATCCCTATTATGACCTTGCTTAAGGTTCCATAGGCTGTCACAGATTTTTATCTGTAAAGGTTTATATCCAAACAGTGATTAGGTGATGATGTAAATCAAATCTGTGCCAGGGACCCAAAACAAGGACCCACTGACTGCATGTGGAAACATGTTGTATGAGAATGAACATGATCGATAGAGATGAAACTGTATAGGAATAGCTTTACAAAGCAGAACATGAAGCTTGACATAATATGTAGTTATGTTGAGCATAGTAGCAGATGTGGATGTGAAATGTTCATACCCTTTGCTTTCCTGTAAAAGCTTGACCACCTGCTTGTTCCTGACATAGGGAAGACTTCATATAGCACACTGTTCCAACAAGAAACACAGCTTTCATGCAAGTTCATAGGGAATAAAGTATATGAAATGATGTTCCCCTATGATCCGAGATGAATGCATACCGTAGTTTTCCATTTGGGCTCTTCTTGTCTGCCGGGTATAGGACGATGCCTCCATAAAACAGGGTACGATGTTCATCAGCAACCATGCTATGGACAATAGACTATGTGATTAGAAACAAAAAATATGAATAAATTATGTAACCTATCTTTTTTGCATCAAACGATATCAATTATGAGAGTCAGTTTACTTGTTGTATGTGAAATATACTGGTTCTCCACCAAATAACTAAGTAGGTCATTTATAGGACAAGTGTTCGGTTCTCCGTTAAAGCATGCTAATACTGATAATTATGAGGGATGGCTATAACTCAGAGAAACATACTACTGATGCATTAATTAGAACCTCAATAATTCATTGAGCTACTGAGGTGGCTAAATGAGCAAACACCTTCCGATGTATCTCAGAGATTTTGGCGAAGAGCCATCCTTGGGGAACTTGCAGTTCTCCACATGCCTAACAATCAATGAATGATGAGGAATTCTTATCAAAAGAACCTTGTCAGGTTCAGTAAGTTGTGATGCATACTTTGCTGTAGGCCCATCCCAATTCTTGACATTTCCTTCATTCACTGAGTATGCTGTGCCCTTTCTTTGGTATCTACAACAAAATATCAATTATAATGTGTTATGTGTTTCATGCAAAAACAGAAATAAGATTATTCCTGGAAGCTGCAACTAAAAGAGCAGGTTATGTTATTATACATCATCTCATCTCTAATGAATGAATTTTAGATGAGTAATTTGGATTAAGAAAAACCTTGATATCTGGATGAGTCAGTCTGAATTCCCAGAGAGAAGGATCTAAAGTGAAACCATTCACACCACTCCCATTGCTCACTACAAGCTGCACCAAATAGAGATTCTGATATGAGACAGCAATCAAAGCAAAACAAATGACACACTGCAAAAGCAGAGAATAAGAAAGAATTTGTAAGAGAAAGATCCACACTTTGATATGGAATAAGAATTAGGCTCAGAGATCAGTAACCACAAGAGGTCATATATAAGTGTTTAAAGACGATCTCTTGTTTTCAGCAGATTGCTAATTTGTGTGATGTAAACCATATGATATATTCTTTTTTGTGCTTATCACGATGATGTGTGACAGTTGAATCATATCAAGAGAAAGAACTATGGAGCCGTACCGTTCCAATGGAGACGCCGCCACTCGATGTTGGAGGAAGATCGTTCAATGAGGGCAAATCGAAGGCAGCAACACACCTTCCCCGCAGTGGTGGATCCACAAAAGTGGCCTCGTCATCCTCTTCCGACACCGGAATGCACCGCGAAGCAGATCGAATCCGGATCGGGAAGGGGAGACACGAAATCATCATGGCGTAGAATGCTCTTGAGGACTCACAGTGCGGCCGCCGCTTGTCAAAGCCTTGACGAAGAGTTCGTTGGAGAGCACGTCCAGCTTCTTCTGCTCTTCGCCCTGGGAAGGGCAATCGCAGCAGTAAAGATCAGAATCCCCAATGCCAACTCAAACTCCTCGCCCCCAAATATCGAGATCCTTCGAAGCTCGCCTGCACATTGGTCTCCCCGGCGAGCCCGATGAGCTTAGCAAGCCCGGCCTGTTCGAACAAAAGCCAGAAAAATCACGACGAAAGAGGCGAATCGATTGCATTCCGATTCGATGAGAGGAGGCGAGGGCGCGGAGACTTTGCTGTCGGTGAGATTGTAGGCGATGAGTTCCGCATAGGTTCTGTACGGAATTATTGTTGTCTTCTATCGATCGGTATACTTTGTACTGGCCCTTATTGATTTGAGATTTCCTCATACGAGTTTTTTATCTCAAAAATGTTTTTATTAGTCTGATAGAGTTCGTCCAGACTCATCATTTTAAGAACATCAAGATGAGTTTTTATAGTTGTAAAACTCTTGTTATGGTTTCTCTTTTCGATTGACTCTTCGGATTGTATTCTTCTACTTAAAAAGAATAGTCAATTTCTCATTTATCATTTTTGTTGTCATATTCTTGACTGGCTCCAATAACTTGAGTGGGCCAAGTGCAGTTACTTAGGACAATAGTCTAGTTTGCTTGTTTTGATACCATAATATCACAGACTTAGTTAGAATTGTCTAAGTTGTGAAGCACCCATATGTTATCCATCCGCAAAGGATCAACCTAACTATAACCTCACTCAGGTCCTGAAGAACCTCTAAAAAGGTAAATTGATTGGTCCAAAAATAAGCAACAGACAATTCCCGATATCTCACAAAGAGGATAACTTTACAAGCAATTCAACAAAGGGGTACAAAAGAGAAAAGAGAAGAAGGAGAAAACAAGAACTTTACAAATGAATAATCGCAAGTCTGCAAACAATTGCATCACAGCTTACAGAACTTCATAAGGTTTTGAGATATAGAGATGACTAATATTTTATATTATATCACAACTTACAGAAAATAGGTCATGACAATGTAAACTAAGTCATTTTTGATAAAAACGCATAAAAAAAAAATATGCTACCAAATATATATAAATGTTTCATTGACGAAAGTGTTGTAGGTGCATGATAATTATTTATGACAATGTGGTCAAAAACAACTTAGTTCATATAATGAAGCATAACCTAATACGTATGGCCAGGTATAGTCTAACTCGTTTGGTTGGGCATGACCCAGTCTATGTGGCCAAGTATAGCCTAACCTATATGGTCAGACAATGCACAACCCATATGGCCAAGCATGACCCAGCTCATGTGACTAAGCATGATCCAACTCATGTGGTCAGGTATGACCTAGCCTATGTGGTCAGACATTATCCAACCCATGTGATTAAGCATGACCTAACCTGCAAGTCAAACGTGGCCCAGTTCAGTGATAAGGCTCAACCCAACTTGTGAGTAAAGTTTAGCCTAACCCGCGAAGCTAGGCTCGCTCAGCTATGCGACTAGCACTAGACACATTGTCCAACCTGCCTGAGGGCAAACATGTGTAGCACACATGATTTGTCTAAAGCTCAAGTGGGTCGGTTTGGTCTAAGTAGCATTATGCGATATAATCTAATTTTCTATCTCTTTATTAGTTTAAGCTTATTAGTTGACTAAATCAGATAGATTTGATCGATTCAAATTTGTTCGGAGTGATTATAGATTAACTTGACTAGTTCAAGCTACTTGAAATTAATCAAATTTAAATTAAACTAGTTTATGATAATTTCACATCGATTCTATAAGAATTTAAGGTTGGTTCTCACGTATTATAATTAAATTGAGTTTAGTTTAAATCAATTGGACTATTTCAATCAGGATTTTGGTTGATTATGTATCGTTGAGAGATTGATGCCTATGTCTTTATGATTTGATAAATTTAAAAATTTTATCTAAAGGTATCGTTTAAAAATTATTATTATTATTATTATTATTATTATTAGATTAAATTGATGACATTAATATAATTATTAGTATGTAGTATATGCGACTATGCTAAATGATCCACATTGAAAGTACAATATATAAAAGGAGCTACGAGTCCATGAAGCCACGAATGGACATAATTCATACATTAAGCATAGTCTCTCATAATATTTTATCATACTATTTCTTAGATATATAAATGGATGTAAATAAATAATCATGATTGATTGTATATCTCTATCGAGTGTAGATATTTAAATGAAATACATCACATAAAGCATATCTCTTTTAGGTATAATACATCTGTTTGATGTATAATATTATTTATTACATAAGAATTATTATTATTTTTTCTAGTACATGAGTTTCATAATAATTAATATATTATTATTTTTATATTAAATTATTAATATATAAATATTATATATATTAAAATTATTTTTATGAATTTTTAAAATATGATTGCTAATATGTTTTTATCCCATACATATTTTTATTATAGTATACTATTTTATAATAGATAGGAGAATATTTAAGTGCACTGCGGCGGCGTCTCCACTGCCTTCTTGTCGGGCGTGGCGGGTTTGCTGCGTGAATGTATTATCATTAGTTATAATTTTAGATTCAGTAGATTAATTGGTGAATCTAAAATTAATCTACTGAATCTAAAATTATAATTAATGATAATACATTCATCACACATTATATATATATATATATATATATATATATATATATATATATATATACATATATATATAACGAAGGAAACATACTATTATCAAATAAATACTGAGAATAAATGCTGACCGTCAGATTTCAGAGTTCATCATATTTACACCGAATCGTGGCAGTAGCAATATGCAGTACAACTCGTGAAGGACAACAGAAGCAGAGAGAGAGACAGAGTGGTAATACCGTAATTATACCCTCAGTTCCACTTTTGTGCCCTTGGATGCCTCCACCTCAACCGCTTTTCTTTACCTTCCGCCTTGGCCCCGCGCTCCGCCCCCGACCTCGCTCGGCCGCCGAAGCCGGCGACGAGACGTCTCGGCTGCGACGGCGATGCTCGATGGTCGCATGGATCGCGACGAAGAGGAGGAAGAGATGGAGGAGGAGGAATTGGGGCCGGATGGTACGCCGATGCCGTGGCCGACAAGCCCGATCCTACTCCTCCCTCGGGACGCGCTCTATAACGTCCTCGGTCGCCTTACCCTCCGCGAGGCGCTCGCTTGCCGCCCCGTCTGCCGCGTCTTCCTTGACGCCCTCTCCTCCACTCCCTTCTTGGCGTCCCTAGCCCCGCTCCGCCTCCTCGCCCTCCGCCACCCCCGGGCCGCCGAAGCTTCCTCCTCGCCCTCGCTCTACGCCTTCGATCCCTCCCTCCGTCGTTGGCTCCGGCTCCCCCTCGCCTTTCTCCCGTTCCGATCTTCTTCCCCCGTCACCGCCTCCCCTTCCCCCTCTCTCCTCTACCTGTGGGTCGATGCCGTCCCCTCCCCCTCCACCGTCACCGGTGCCAAGAACCACCCTAAATCCCTCGCCGTATGCAATCCCCTCACCGGATCCCACCGCCTCCTCCCCCCGCTCGGCTCTGCCTGGTCCCGCCACGGCACCGTACTCGCCGGCCCTGGCGGCGCCGTCCTTGTCGTCACGGAGCTCGCCGCCCTATCCTACGCCCCGGGCACCGATCGCTGGCTTAAGTTCCCCTTAAGCCTCCCCTCCAAGCCGCGGAGCCCGATCCTGATGTCCGGCGCCGTTTTCGCTCTCTGCGACGTCGGCACCCCCTGGCGGAGCCAGTGGAAGCTCTTCTCCTGCCACCTACGCGACCTCGGCGGCACCCGCGGGTGGACCTCGCTCGATCGGCACGAGTGGCGAGACATGTTTAACATCCTGAAGCGGCCGCGGCTCCTTCCTGGTGCGGGGGGCAGGCGGATTCTGATGATCGGAGGGTTGAGGTCCTCGTTCGCGGTGGACGGTCCATGCTCGACGGTCATGATCCTGAGGCTGGATCTGGCGACGATTGAGTGGGAGGAAGCGGGGAGGATGCCGCAGGAGATGTACAGGTGCTTTGGAGGTGGAGTCTTTGGGCCAATGGCAGCACCAGCGGCAGCTGGGGGCAACAATAAGGTGAAAGTCTTTGGTGGAGATGGGAGGATATGGTTCTCAGGGAAGAGGGTGAGAGGAAAGCTGATAATGTGGGAGGAGGACGACATCGGAGGTAGTGGCGGTGGCCTGTGGAGTTGGGTGGACGGTATTCCAGGTTACAATGAGGGCATGTACAGGGGTTTTGTGTTTGATGCTGGATTCACTGCTACACCTTGAATTGCTCAATGAACTGGTAAGATCTTTAAATCTTTTGCCTATAATTTGTGGACAATTCACATCCTTGTTTGATTCAAGTTCTTCAGTCAACATAAATTTCTAGCAAGGCATGTGCTTCTGATTTGATCGATATTTAGAATATCTTGGCACTACATGGAGATTATGTAGAAATTGTTGCCTCTGCTTGATAAGTCTTGTGTAAGATAACCTTTAGATGTTTGAGGTGATGACAAGCCTAAATATAAACTTGATTTTAACACCTGTTTTTTTTTGTTTCAGTTTAGCATTGCTTGAACAAAACTAGCAGTTAAAACAAAAATCTACTTTAAAGTGGAAGTGTTTTATCTTCTAGAAGAATCTTTGTGGTTTCTCGAGTTAATTTCTTGAAGTTCTCCTTCAGCTGAAAAAGCTCACATTTTGGTGCCATCACTAACAAAAACCCATTTGAGGGTTTATCCCATTGTCCAAGTTATTTGGTGGATTTAATCTTTACTACCAGACTTGGTAGTAATTGATAACCTCCCAGTATAATTACCAGTAGATTTATGGAGATTAGATTGGTCCTTAAATTTCTATGTTATTTCATTTGAGCCAGGTCCTTTGGTGAAAGGCCTGTCTAGAATTTATTCAAGTCGTTTACTGCAATTTTTCTTTTGTGAAGATAGGAATTGCAGATGATGCTTATTTAGGTAGGGAATGTTTTTTAGGAAATCTGAGTCTCCTACATGTTAAAGGATGAGTGATACAGATTTCTGGTAGGAACTTCTGGGTGAAAGCCTGTAGAAATGTTGAGTCTAATTTTTTTTTTTTTTTTGTGATTAGGAAGCTCATTAAATTAGGATGTTGTTTGTTGCATTTAATAAGTGCTTCAATATGATTTAGAGGTAAATTTACATCATATGAAGCTTTTGGTATGTATTTGGAATTTTTCTTTTTGTTTTTTTTCCTCGACTTGACATTTTGACTCTTAAATATCATGTTGGATGTAAGTTAGGAGTTAATATATAACACTTGGAAGTTAGAACTGAACAAGGACCCCAGCATTTTAAGTTGATGATCTCCAATTGCTGTGGGAGTTTGTGTATGAAAGGAAATACTTTATTGGGTGTCGCCATATTAGGTTACAATAGGCAAAGATGAAATAGTACTTTTAATCTTCTATACCCTTTGATCTTTTGTTTTCTAAATCATGCAAACAAGAGTTACTCAAGAAGACAATTTGTTTATTTACTAAGTGGTTGACCATGGTAAGTTCTATTTTGTGAAAAGATGATAACAAATGTCTAGGAAGCTCAGCAGCATGCTGTTCTGGTTAACAGCTTATTTTGGATAGCAGAGTGATTGATTGACACTCTACAGTAAGGCTCTTGGCACTAGATGTGCCCTTAAAAAAACATTTTAGGGAATTTTATAGCGAAAGCTGGTCGCTTGAGTGGGAAAAGTACATCTAGTATCTCATGTTATTATGGAATACCCTCCTGGGGAGGATACAATTCTACAAGATGGCTGGACAATGTCAATTCAGATTAAATGCTTCATGATAGGCAGGACAGCCAAGGTAGATTCAGTAATAAGCATTGACAAAGGACACACCGACTCTTGGACTATTTTGGTGATGTTGGCTCTAAGAAACTAAATGGCATTGTTATTCATATAGTTATTTCTAAAACTTGTGGAATTTAGTGTATTTATCTTATGAGAATGTTTCAGGTATATTACACTAATAGGAACCTCAATTTGAATAGATTTTCAATGGCCATAAGTGTTAAAGACCTAATAATATTGAATAGGGTGCTAATTATTTGTCATGGAGCATGCAGATATAGAGTAATCTTTATCAACTCCTCAAAATGGTGGTTTGTGTCTATGTTAAGAGAATAAAATGACTTATCTTGAGGATAAGGTGACAGCAATAACTATTTTGGTTGTTGCTATCCTACTAAAACAACACATTGCTAACCATATATTATTTCTTTGCTCAATCAACTGAATAAGTAAGATAGAGGTTGAGGGAATTATTTACTCTTACCAAAACAACACATCTCTAACTATGTTATTATTTCTTTGTTCAATCAACTGGATAAGTAAATATAGAAGTTGAGGGAATTATTTCCTTGTTCAGTCAACTAAAGGTACTTGTTTTGTTTCTAGATTCTGTATTACCAGTAAAATTACATGAACAAGAATCATGTTATAACACTGGATAATGAGATAAGCTCAGAGCTGTTGTATTCGTGAAACTACGAAAGGTTGTGAGACATAACACATTAAAGAAGCTAATGTTGAATGCATGATTAGGGGGGCCATATATTCATCAAGCATGCGAACAGTACATGTTATGTATGAAATGGATAGAGTGAAAATTGCTAATCTGGGTGCAGAGCGTCAGTGTTGGTGGAATGCCCTTATTCTTTTCTTTCAGTAAAACTAGCATTATGGGTTTCTGTGTTGAGAGCTGCATCTCACAGAGTTCTTCCTGGAGTTAAATTACTCCATCAGAATGATTTGGGATGTAATTGTGCTTACCACAATGATCATATGAACTCAAGGCCAAGCTTCTGTCTGGGTGATCTAGACAGGAATTTTTTGTTTGGTTCATTTGCATGGGCTAATTAAATTGACAAATGACAGCTAAGATGTATGTGATCCTCAGAACTTTCTTGAAACTGTAATTGAATATGTAATGGTCTAATTGCTTCTGTGTCTTAACATTTTTTTATTTTATGTTACTGTTCATATTTTATGGCCTTGACAAGCATTTATGGACACATTTCAGTGGAAGATATTAGGCTTATTGCACTTATGTATTGCTTTTCACTTGTCAATTCTGTTTTTAGGCATGCTAAAGTAAGTTATCAAGCTCAGTGTTTAATGGTCATACTGTGGGCCATCCTCTTTCATTTTACCTCCTGATGAATAGGTGTAATTGAATGTTTTCCATTCTTGATACAATTAAATAGAGGAATAAATATATGCCATCAGAAATTTCTTCTTTTTCATCCTGTTGCTTGTCATTTAGGCTGAATAACTTGCTTGCGTTCTTTACGTGCAGCATGTGCAGTGGCGACTGTGATATTAATGTTCTTTATCTGCTTTCTTTGGTGAAAATTTTCAGAGCCGACAAGCTAATAATTCATACTCTTCATCACAAAATAATTCATACTCTCAACAAAAAATCACTGGGAAGGGAGCATGATGCATATTGAAAAATGTGGTGGATAAATCAGCATTTGCATCAGGAGTTATGACAGAGGGAGTGCGCCCTATTGCCTTTCTATATACAAGAACCCCTTTTGGAGTAGTTATGCCTGTGTGAAGCTTGTGGTGATCATGTACAAGTTGCCATGGCAATCATGTTCTGTCGATTGAGAATGAGAACCCGAAGGTGTTTCCAGGGGAACTGGAGAGTCAAAAAAGAAGATGCATTCGATTTCTATGTATTTGCTCGGCACCCGCTAAGGTCATCCAGAACGTGTCACTCGTTCAACAGTAGTGTTGCGGTGGAACGAATGGAGCGATATATGAATTTGTTCCTGTGCTTATGAAACTGTCAAGCGAATGACATCCAGCTGAGAGGTTTGTCTTCCATAAGGTTATTGCTTATGTAATCATTGATCATCATTCCGGTCATGAAAACATCTTCTATTGTTAGTCTTCTACACTTAAATTTCTGTTGGTTGCCCAACTAGAAATTCCAAGAAACTCAACTTTTACCAAAAAAAAAGAGAAGAAGGTTCTGTCTTTTATTTTTTTCAGGTGACAAATAGTCGCATCGGAACTATTAAGGCGGCATGAGAGCCCGAAAAGTTAAAGCTTCAGAAAGGATCGCATCCAGGATCCAGGTACACATCATCAAGATATCCTTTGAATAGTATGAATAGCACTAACTCTTTGGTGTGTCATTGATGATGTTACATATGACACATGGATTCCCCAACCTCTGAATCTTAGTGGATTCATTTGGATCCACTTAAGGTGCCATGTAGATTAGATGATATGTGGATATCATGTCATCACCAACACACCAAGGAAATTATTAGAAATTGGTGTGAACAATGGTGTCAAGTTTCTCTTTCAACCATGCAACTTCATAACCATTGTGGATGTTCATGCCCTCTTGGGGTTATGAGAGCAAGCCTATGAACTGGAAAAGATTCTACTTGCACTTTGTAGATATATAAATCTTCCTACTGTATAAATGCAGTTCCTATCACATATTGTTTTTCTATGTCTAGATATAGATTGTTTGTTCAGATGACTACCATTACCATCAAAGACTCCCACCCTTTTTCTGAACAACTGATCAAACATTAGAACATTATCTCTCACACCCTTTTGGACTTTGATGCAGAAAGTGTTCCTTCTGAAGAACACTTGATATGTGGTCTCTGACCAGTTAAATTTGCTCCAAGACTATTGTAGCTTCACCTTTCTGAGTACTATGTTCAGCTATAAAAAACTTCTTCTTCTTCTTCTTCTTCTTGACACAAATCTACAGAGCTCGTCCGTTCTGCTGTTGATCTTGGAGATCTCGTGAGCTCCGATGCCAACAGGTCAAGCATCCGACATATGTCAACAAAATGTGGATTTGTTTCATCTCCAGCAATAAATTCGTGAACAGCATTGTCCACCTCAATCGAGCTGCACCCTGGCGTCTTCTTCATCTTCCTACTCCTCACCAGTTTCCTCATCTTGGCCACACCATCCCACCTCCCGGCAGCAGCGTAGATGTTCGACAGCATCACGTAGTTGCCGGTGTCCTCTGGCTCGAGCTCAAGAAGTCGCTCTGTCGCCTTCACAGCCGTTTCCACGTCGCCATGGATTCTACAAGCACAGAGCAAAGACCCCCAGATGCTGACATCCGGTGGGAACGGCATCCCATCGACGAGCTCCACCGCGCGACGGATGCAGCCTGCTCGACTAAGGAGATGCACCATGCAACCGTAGTGCTCGATGTCTGGATCGAGACCGTAAACCTTCTTCATCGATTCAAAGTACCACAGCCCCTCGTCTACCAGCCCGGCATGAGAGCAGGCGGATAGGAGTCCGAGAAATGTGATGCAATTTGGCCTCACCCTCTTACCCTTCTCCTCCTCCATTTCCACGAACAGCTTGATCGCATCAAGTGCCCTCCCGTGCGTTGCGAGCCCGCCGATCATCGTGCTCCACGATATCACATCCCTATCGCGCATATCCCCGAACAGCTGATGGGCTTGGTCGATGCTGCCGCATTTAGCGTACATCTCCATGAGAGCATTGCAGATGAAGGTCTTCTCGAGCAACTTGCGCTTGTTACAGAAGGCGTGTATCCACTTGCCCAGCTCCAGAGCTCCCAGGTGAGCGCATGCCGGCAACACCGACACGATGCTGATGTCGTCGGGCTCTAACCCTTCCGACTGCATCCTATGAAACACCTTAATGGCGTCGGAGTAGCAGCCGCTGGAGGTGTAACCAGAGATCAACGCGGTCCAAGAGACCACCGATCTTTTGGGCATTGTGTCGAACAGAGCTCGAGCTTTCCTCATCTGCCCCGATCTAGCATGTGCCGTGATCATCATGTTCCACGAAATCACATCTCTCTCCGCCATTTCGTCGAACAAGCAGTGTGCATCGACCAAATCGTCACATTTGGTGTACATCTCTATCAACGAGTTCTGGATGATAGAATTGGAGCCCAACCCAGACTTGGAAACACGGGCGTGAACTTGCCTTCCGAGATGAAGCACCGGCAGCCCAGCGCAGGCCTTGATCACAAAAGGATAGGTGAACCCATCCGCAAAGACGTGATCCTGCCGCACCATTTGCTTGTACAGGCCGACCGCTTCGAGGAAATGGCTGTTCTTGGCGTAACTTCTGATCATTTCATTGTACAAGAACGCATTCGGTTCCTCGACATGGTCGAAGACCAGAGCGGCGTATTCCAACCTTCCACCGGCACTGCAAACGCTTATGATCTGAGTCGCAAGGTAGCAACTTTGGGAGAGGGCAGAGACCACAACGCGAGCGTGGACTCTCTTCAGTTCCGCGAAACAGGGGCAGCTCCTTAGCATCGGCATGATGTGGTCTTCCATTTCTCTGGCAGCCCGGGTGGGAATCCTCATTCCGTGGGCGACGAAACGAGGAAGGATTGGCGATGATTGCTGGATGATGGAAAGCGGGACCAAGCTTCATGGAGCCAAGGTGGGAGTCCATGTTCATGGGGGCGAGGCGTTGTAGCGGAGGATCATGACGGGGAGAAGGAAACTGCAATCACCACTCTAATCTACTCTATGCCAAAGTAGAAGATGCTGAGTTGGTACCAACAAATAAATTGAGTACTTTTGGGCATATAGCGAATCATAGATAATGATTCCGAGGAAGTCCATTGTGAACGGATGTGAGAAATAATAATTATTATTATTATTATTATTATATATTATTAATTATATTTATAATTTTAATTTTTATATTTTAAAAAATTATATTACCTGAAACCTCTAAGTTTATTTAACCTAATATCATCAATTTTACTAATGTTTTTATGATGTTAATAATGATAAACGACGAACATCGCTGACCGTGAGCAATTACTATGAATGAAAAAAAAGATAACAAAAGAATGATCTTTTATCTTTTATCGTCTTTTTTTTCATTCATAGCAATCGCTCAAGATCGTCAACGATGTTCATCGTCTATCATCATTAACATCATAAAAATATTAAACATTAGTAAGATTGATGATATTAAATAAACATTAGTAAGATTAATCGACATCACTCAACAATTACATCAATACAAATACAAATCAACCCATACATCTCATTATCATGTGACCCCAACTACGCCATCATCTATCACCACCAATGCCATCCGTCATCATCAATTAAAATATTAAAAATATTTTTTCTATTTTTTTTTTCATATTACGATTGATAATGATAAGATAAATGAATCTAAATTAATCAAATAAATTTTAAAAAAAACCATAAAAAAGAACACAAGTAATACCATATCTTATGAGGAGAGGGGATGTGCTCCTGTTTGCAGTGACAGGCTTCCATGACTTAGTTGCAATTCCTGGAATCATAGTTTCAATTGCCAGAAAGGGGGTGGATTTGCAAGCAAAACCAGGTTTGTTCCAATTTCAACATACTCAGAAGCCAATCCATATAATTGATTGTAATTATGGTCCAATTTCAACAACTCGTAAAGCCAATCCACATAACTGATTGTAATTATAAAGAATGTTCATCAAATTACCTCAAATATTGGTTCCAAAGATTCCAGTACTTCTGCAACTACAAAAAAATATATCATGGTGTCGAACATAATATTACACCTTTGAATTTGCATCAGTAGCATCAACCGAAAAGCACATCTTCTGCAGCAAAGAAATTTATAAAACAAAAACAAAAATCAACTGCATTACATGCATGTCAGGAAGTTGAAATGCCCTCTGAAGCTAATTAAAATCCTAATCTAGACAAAGCATCCAACTCCCACATCATTTCCGATATTCATCTTGTCAATTATGTACAAAATCTTATAAATGTAGTAAGTAGCCCCTAATAAATAATCTCGGATCTTGGGTCAAGAAAGAACATAAGCCATGGAACGTTGTATCGAGGCCTCTTTTGAAAGAGAAATTTAGCCTAACTAGCTGAGAAGTGTATGTAAAAAAAATCTTCTGGGTCTTGGGTCAAGAAAGAACATGAGCCATGGAACACATTATTTCAGGGCCTGCAGATATATTTCGGAAGAGCAAATTTCGCATACTCCAATATATCCCATAGCCTTCAAGAAGCCAATTTTTTTGTAGGTCCAAATGATCAAAAGGGGAAGCTTAAACTCGAACCAAACTCTCCAAATCACAATCTATGGGAACAAATCAATCGGTCAAACTTCTGACAAGCAATCCAGAAATCAGGACACTACTGAATAGGTAACCCAAAAATGTGAGAACGATCACAGGACCAAATTGAACCTGCCAAAAGGTTAACAAAGTTTCAATAATGTCGCTAAAATAACTCAAAAGATTCCAATGGTAGAAACAATGAAATTTACCCAGTATCCATCCCAGAAAAACATATTGGCAGGTGCAAACTGGATGACATCACCAAAGCCTAAAAATCCACTGTTTATCATTTCAGGCATTTCTTAAGGGAGATAAATCATTTTTCCAAAAAATGCTTCACACGCCTCTAATCCCACAGAAAAGCAGAGATCTTAACTGAACAAGACTGTATCATTTTATCAAGTTCTCCACCAGCATCCAGATCATCAACATTCCAAACACTCAAGACCATGATAAGGATCTTACTAAAGCACAGAATCCAACATGGGGAACGCACAAACGATAAAGCACCAAGCAGCAGCAATTTCCAGAAAGAACAGGGCACTGTATTATAGCAACATTTATCATATAACCAGTGGCATCCAAGTCCTGAAGTAGCACCAAAGTAGCATGCCTGACAGATGCAAAGCAGAGTGTACCATAGAACACCATAACTAAAGCGAGTAACAAGGCCCACTACCACCTTAATCACCAGTACTGGTATCAAACTAGCTCCATGACTGCATATGATGGCATAAAAATAAAAAAGTTATTTTGCAAAAATGCTAAAAATGAGATAATGTAGCTTAATCATACCTGGATCATAAGCAGCAATGGGATCAGGATCTGTAGCTGCCTCCACTAGGGCGTTCATATGGTCCGGATCGATCACGGTTATAACGATCACCTCCCATGCCCCCACCTCCACGGCCTCCCCCATCCCTACTACGACCACTATATCGGTCCCCATTCCGGTCAGGACCATATCGATTATTATTGCCACGACTACCCCCATACCTGTCATCTCTGCCACCATACCCATCCCCTCTTGCACCATCACCAGAAGGGCATTCCCTAGCAAAATGACCAGGCTTGCCACATTTAAAACAATCACCACTATTTGAACCTCGTCCACTACCACCAAAATCACGACCACGCCCACGAGATCGATCTCGATCAAAGTCACGCCCACCATCACGATCCCTGCTAGCAGGACCTTGTGGTTGAGCTCTTTCCACAAGAATAGATCGCCCATCCAGATCCATCCCATTCATGGCTTCGATAGCTTCTTCCATAGCTCCCTTGTCATCAAAAGTGACAAAGCCAAATCCACGGGAACGACCAGAAAACTTGTCAACAACAATCTGCAGGTTGGATGTAACAAGAAATCATGCAAAATAAATTTTAGTGAACCTTGTACAAACAAAAACTAAACAGGAGTTTGTAAGCAGCAGAAAAAAAAAAAGATATTGAGCTTTGTCTCATCCTATTTGGAATAATTACAAATGGCAACTTCAGAGTTTTCAAAATCCTTCCAACAAACTATAGAAGGCACCCAAAAACAGCTTTGTTCATGCTTCACAGGAATTAGAACAAGTCTTATTACAGTTAATCTGAAGATATGCTGTGATAATTATAAAAACGTCTTGCTATAACAAAAAACTATCTTTGGCACTGATAAATGCTTAATAGCAATGATAGTATCACACTATTGGTGTATATAGTTATATGTAAAACAACATTTAGTCGAACCTTGGACTCAAAAACTTTTCATGCATTAACACCAGATGCACTATGTCCTAAAAAATAAAAGAACATACGTGGTGGGGACCAAACAAAAGTTGTATCAATATTTTTCTGCAAAATATTTACTGCCCATTAATATAAATATTCCTCTATGCAAGTAGACATATTAAATATTTTATGGAGACAATAAGGAAAACCAAACAGATTTCGCTTTTCCAGAAATAGTGAAAAAAAGTTATATATGCCACCTTTGCCTCAGTGATTTGACCAAACTTTTGAAATGCCTCCTTCAGATCTTCATCAGTTGTTGACCATGAGAGGCTGCCTATAAAGCACCGGTACTCTTCTATTTCTGACATTTTCAATTTAACTAACTGCACAGAGGAAGAAACATACAAGAACAAAACATAGGATCAGTTACAAGCGATTTCGAATTTGAATCAACAAACTGATAAGACAATAAGATCAGCAGATTAACTATTCATATAAAAGAAGCACAATGTGCTCCAACAGATACCTGCAAAATGAGAGATGTTCATTACTAAACAAAATACACAACCACTCATGTCCATTATATTTGCAGCAAGTTACAATTTCGATCAACCCTCATGGGTAAGATAAGGTTGGCATATTAACCAATATGATATGAAAGAAATTATCATAGAGTAAATCCTCTCATACAATCTAATTTCAAGAAAATATATTGTAGACCATGCTAATGCTTGCACTGACTCCTTTTATCTTTCACACTTGTCAATATACATGAAAAACGAAGTTTGTCAGGCAATTGTAACACTAGGAGAGTTCTATAGATCTCTTCAGACATTTTAAGATGAAGGCCCATAAAAAGAGGTAATTTAACTTGAAGTCAAATACCAAAACATAAATACAACGGAAAACGGTCACCACACACCTGAAATCCACTTTGTGAACAAGTAAACCACGCAAGTTATTATTAATACAATCAGAATAAAGGTCCAGGATTTACAAATCTTTTATTACCAACTATGATAGAAATATACCAAACTCTAGTGTTGCAATTTTGATTTTGAAAAAAAACCCGATTAGTTACTATCTTCTAATATTATTTCAGTGATGTGAACATGAAGCACAAATGAAACTGGTGTTCAGCTTGATAAAAAGGCACCAAGAAAGAATGTATGGTCCAGAAATGATCTAATTATGTTGGCAGCATGTCACCGAACAACTCTTACAGAGTTCATCTCTCTAAAACTTATACGGTTAATCCACATATTTGACTATGACATCAACCACTCAATACAACAAACATAAAAGTTTAAAAAGGTCAAGAAATCCCATATCAAACATGTAGCCGACCTGACATGTCTACCCCCTTCATCTTTATCAAGATTCACAAGGTTCAAGAAAATATACATAAATCAACACCTGTATTTAACAAAACCTAAAATCAAGAAGATCACAAGGCATACGGTTACAAGAACCTTAATCGTCTGCGCAAGAAAACTATCACCTGTATAGAGCAAGACCTTAAATCAAGAAAATCACGAGAATTAAGTGCATAGTTACAAGAACCTTAATCGTACGCTAAAGTAAACCAACACCAGCATCCAGCGATACCTTGAGTTAAGAAAATTACAAGAACCCTAATCGACACGCGCAGGAAAACTAACACCGTAATCAACAAAACCCTACCTAAGTCAAGAAAATCATAATAATTAGGTCCATGGTAACGAGAACCCTATCGTACACCCAAGACTTTGCTAACAATGATAGAGAAACCTTCGAGACCGAACAAATCTTGAAACAATATTACCATAAGGAAAGGATCGAAAACGAGATTACGACGATCTCCTGGTTCAGATCTAACCTGGGAGTCACTCAGCGGCGAGAGGACGAGGATCCGCGAGGCGGCGGGGAAACCCTAGAGCTCGAGCTCGAGCGCGTGCGGCTGCCCTTTCTCTCCGCGAGATGTTTCCCTTACGCAAGGCATCGAAAAAGAGGACCTATATATCGGCCCGGTCCGTGCATGAGCGACCGGCTTGGCTAATTCTGGGTCAAATCTGACGTGCCGGTTCGAGTTGGCGAACCCATGTTTCTAAAAGAATAATCAAAATTAACCCCAAATAGGAAAATTAATTTTATTAACATATTTATTCTTTAAAATTGGAGAAATAACGTATTTGTTACTAATAAATTTTATTATGACACGTATATCCTTTTTTTTCTCACTTATTGTTGTATTTTTTTTCTCTTTTCCTTTTTATTTTTCACTGTTGATTTTGGACAAAAAAGAATGGTAGTTTGATAATTATATTACATGTTAAAAGAGACTTATAATTTTGGAGTTGACATAAAAGAGGGTTCAAATTTTAATTGCAATTGAATCACATAAGATCGATTTTGATTTAAATTTTATTAAATAATTTGTGTTTTAAAAAATATTTTTTTAAATCACCAAGTATCGATTCAGAATGAAATTGGAACTGATTAGGGTAATAATAATGATGGGATGCAAACTGACGTCACCTACTCCCGGGTGATGTCTCCTGGGTCACGCAGACCGAGGAGCTACATGGGTCGCCTCGGTCTGACTTGACAGCACCTGACCGAGGCAGACCAAAATGCCGACCGAGGCACGTCGCCATCCTACAGGAGCCCGATCCTTCACGCAACCCCAACGCCGATGTCAAACGCCTTCCCAAGTACGGTCTTACTCCCTGCAAGCGGGCACATCAGGAAACAGTGACCTTCCCTATAAAAACTCTCGCGTTCGGAACGAGAAGGTAGAAAGAAAAATCCCCTAAGACTATCGATTGACTTGATCATCGGAGGGGTCGGGTTGAGCTCTCCCGACCCGACCTATGTGCAAGGACGAAGATGGAGCGCCTCTCACCACGCGCCCAGGCGAGGAGTTCACTCCTAGAAGAAACGACAATCTTGTTGAGACCGGACAAACGTAGTCAACTACCTCGACACTCTCAAGGGTAGTCTAGAAAGATTCCCACTCATTTGGATCCAAACCAACCGTATTGGCCCCGAGGCCACGGCTTAAAGTTGTTGACACTAACAGGAAGCATCATATTTCGATTCTAAAACCCTAAAATTATAATTGAATCATCATAGATCGATTTGGTTCGATTTAGAATCAATAAATCATCGTGCTAGTTCAATTTCGATTCTGAGTCCAATTTAGTTTCAGTGAATCGAATCGTGAAGCAACAATAAGTTAGATGAGAACCATATTATTATTATTTATTTATTTATAATAAATTCTACGAGAATTTTCTCTAAGAATATAACATTGTTTATGTGCTTACAAAATATATATATATATTTCGTTTAATAACATGGTATTAAGTTAGAGGTATAAAGGTAAATAGGCATCTCAGAAATATCTTTTCTTATAGAAAGGGTAACTTGACTTGCAGCCCAAGCAATCCTCTCCAAATTTATTCTACTTCCGAAACTACCCCAACTGATTAAATGGAATTACCAAGTCCACAGGCCCAAACCCTCCGATATAAGGCCCTCTCCTGTGTCCTCAAAACCCTATCGTGCCACCCCGGTCCCGATGCGTCTTCCCTTCCCCGATCCCCCCGTGGCCTTCCCTAGTCGCCTATTGCCTCGCCGGTGATCGATATGGCGGCGGAATTGGCTGTGTCGGCGGCCCCCGCCGCTTACTTCCCGGTCGTCTTCTTCGACGGCGATAGCGAGATCGACGTTGGATCTGTTCTGGTGCACCCGTCGGTCGGCTTTAAGAAGTTCCAGGCCAGCGTCAGCCAACGGATCGGTGTCGCCCCTCACCAGATCTCCATCTCGCTCGTCCGCCGCAAGAAGGCCCGGGTGTCTCCGGAGGTCCGCCGCAAGGTGACGATTGACGAGGCGTCCGACTTCGCGGCGATCGCCCGCGAGAGGGACTGCTTCGTCCTCGCCGTACTTCGCCGGCCACGGCGGGAGAGGCGGGGCCGGTCCAAGAGGAAGAGCCATGAAGTCGGCGAGGAGAAGAAGGCGGTTCCGGAGATGACGATCCTGAGGCGGAACCCGATGGGGTCCGGGGTCCTCGATCCGATGCGCGGTGGGCTGGTGCCGGAGGCGATCGCCGGATTGGGGCTGTGGGATTACGAGGCCCAGCTGCGGAGCATCCAGCGGCAGCGGGAGAGGCTCCTGATATCGACCGCGGCGGCGGCGGCGGCGGAGGTCTCGTACTACCCATTCGCGGTCGGTCATCGTCCTTCGTCGCCGGCCTCGTGCCGTGAGTGCGAGGCGGCGAAGGCGGCTGGTCGGTCGCCGGGGTTCCATTGGTGCGTCCACGACGCGGTCACCATTGGCTTCCGGTCGCCGGTGGGGCCCATCCAGCGTCCCTCGAAGAGCCACGTCGAAGCTTCCGCTTAGCTGGACGGATACGATCGAACGCATCCCTTTTTTATTTCCATCTTTATTTTCGATTTAATTCTTCGTTAAAAAAACGAAAAGGGTAGAGAGAGAGAGAGAGAGAGAGAAGAGAGTAGACTTTGAACTGTGTGTTTGTACACGGGGTGGCGTTAAAAATACGAACCTCGGTGTGATGGTATCAGGGAGTATACCGTATGATCAAAGTGAAGACGGTGGTGAGCTCCGCCGGGGAAGGAGGAGCTACAGTTTGTGAATGGGTGCGTCGCATTGACGTCCGAGATACAGTTTGGTCCAAAGCTTAGGAGTAATCCCTTTTATCCTTTTATGTGAACGGCGAAAGTATTAAAAGTAATAAAAGGTATATATATATATTTGATATAAATTTTTATTGTATTTATTATGTTAATTTTCTATCATTATTATATCTTCGATAAATGGTTTTATATATGATCGTTATCAAAATTAGATCAGAGTGGGCCATTCGGTAATGGGAAGCCAATGGTCTTTTTTTCATCAGATGATGTTTTAAACGTTTCGATCGTTGGATACTGCTTTAAATGTTTCAGCCAATGCATTTGTCGTTGGTAAAACGAGTGGCAGATGCATGAACACATGCCGAACTATTCTTCTCAGCCTGTTCATGGTTATATGCAGATGATGATTCGGGTAAAGCAATGTATTGCATAATAAAATTATATTTAATCTCGATGATCACCAAATCTCCTTATAAAATGCATCCAGCTGACAACATATATATATATTTATCAGCCCAAGTAAAGTATATTATATTTGACGGAAATTTATGTTACATCAAAATTTACAAGGGCGAATGTGTCAACTGAAACTTCGTTAGTTGTTAGGTTGCTTGTTACAAGAAGTGATGGACCAAATAAATTGATGGAGAAGCAACTATTATGATAAATTGAGGAAGAAGCAAATCGGAGGAGAACCGGTTCGATTAATCAATTAATTAATGAGATTACAGTAACCGGTTCGGTGGAGATGTGCCAACCACAAATGGCAAACCAAAATTTCAATTTCTTTTAAAAGAAAAAATAATTCTTATTTTTTTTAAATCTAATCTTTGTTTTATATTAATATTGTAACATCCTAAAAATTTTCTTACGTCATCACATCTTTCCATAAATATATTTAGAGTCAAAATAAATAAATAATTTAGTTATTAATCAAATCATAAGCCTAATGTATTTATTGAAGGATATAGTAATTCAGATGTCTTGAAGGTTTGTTCTTTATTGGAATTCGATTTAGTGTTAGTGGAAGATTGATTTAAAAATAAAAAATAAAAAAAATTCAATAACACGAACCTCGATAAATCAACTAAAAAATAAATACATGATAAAAAATTAATTATTCTATTTTGACATATATTAAATACCTGAATAAGCATTCTCCTAATAACATAAGACGATTGAAATAGTAACTCTCATCTATTAAGGTGGGAAAAGTTTCTCCGAATAATAGATAGAGGAACAGTCGAGCTATCATGTCTAATGACTTGCTAATCCCAGAAAAAAATCATCGTATCTTTCATTAACAAAAAATAACATCATTTCGATCATGTCTATATTTGAATAAAATAACATATTCAATATATTTATTTCAAACATCATTAATATCAAATAATATCAATTAGCTCTCAATTGACATAGATTAAATACACCTTTAACGAATGACTGTTTGTATCTAAGTAGAAAAGAGTTCAATATCTAATTGTTTACTCAAATTATCGATAAGTCATATGATTAATCATGGTCCAATCATACTATTCTCCATGACATCAATTATCTCATCGGTTATTTTTTCTTCATTCAGTGGTGTTATATCCTTGGGAGACTTAATTATATTTTTTAGGTAACTTATTTCTCGATTAAGGCTTAGTCTTGGAATCTAATTTTCCAGATTTATTTTTATAGAAACTCTAATTATTTTATTCTTGCATAATAATAGAATAAAGTTATTTCTTTTTTAGAAAAATAATAATCAAATTTTCTTATGGACTATTTTCAGGATGAATCGATCAATTCCTTTGAATTAAACCAAATGGGATTCAAAAGGAGGGACAACAAAAAAAAAATTCAACTTTTTATATTTTTCTATATTTATTTAATTTAATGAAAAATTAGGCAACAAAAATTCCGATAATTATCGGTCAACATAAGTACGTCGTCTTCCCCTAACGGAGATTTAGCCTTCTGGTAAACACACACGGTTACGTACACCTCCTCTCTCTGAATGCATATCTTTGCGTGGGTCCCACGCCAACCTTGCACGCAATTTATTTGCGCGTTGTTTGTATTCGCAGGGAGTTTCTCGCCGCCCCCCGAGATTCCAAGCTGGAATCGGAACAACCCCGGCCCTACTCCAATACTACCCTTCTCGGTCTCTCTCTCTCGCTTGGCTTCCTCGCCACTCCAGATCGAGTTCGGGAGGAGGAAGAGACGAAGAAGGCGAGAGATCCGAGGAGGCGTTGCGGCGCCGAGAAGAGGGAAGGAGGCGATCGATAGATCGAACGATGGGTGCCAGCGATGCCCTAACGGAGCGGGCGGCCTTCCTCCGCGACTCACTCGACAAGAGTCGCACCCACACCGATCGCATGGTCTCTATGCTCGGCTCCTTCGACCACCGCCTCTCCGCCCTCGAGGCCGCCATGCGCCCCACCCAGGTTTCCCCTCTCGTGGATGGATTGTGGTGTCGGTCGTTTTGGAGTTTGGTACTGATTTTGGGTTTTGGATTCTCTGGATCCTGGTTCCTTTCGCCGATGTGATGCAGGTGCGGACTTATGCTATTCGGATGGCGCACGAGAACATCGACAAGACGCTCAAGTCGGCCGACGTTATCCTGGGTTACTTTGAGCGCACGCGAGAGGTTGGCCCTGTTTTTACCTTGTGCTTCCTGGTTTAATTTTCCTTCGGTGCAGCTCCTATTTGTTTGAGCAAGAATGGGTCTTTTTCTTTTAAGTGTTTCAATCTTTTTTCTGTTAGTGTGGGTCTGAATGAGTTTGATCGAGTTCATTGGAAACAGTTGTTTCGACTTGTGAAAATGACTATTCTGGGAGTCGGTGCGTTTTTAGGTCTTTGCTGAGGGAGAAAAACTAGTGAGGCTTAAGCTTATCGCCGTGTTTTAGGTCTTCGATTTTATTCTTTTGGTGTGCGTCTGATTAAGTTTATACAAAACAATTTGTTCAATTAGTGCATTTTTGGTTCTTTGGATGAGTAGGCGGAGCTCAAACTGTCAAGGGGGCCGCGTGACAACCTTGAAAGTTATCTCACTGCAATTGATCAGCTGAGAGGCATCTTGCAGTTTTTCAGCTCAAATAAAAGCTTAAGGAGCAATGATGGTGTGGTAAACCAGGCAAACAATACTCTAGCTAAGGCCATAATGAAGCTGGAGGATGAGTTCCGCAGTCTCCTAGTTACTCACAGGTCTGTTTCTCTACATCTGTTTGGGGTTTGTTATTCTTAATTGGTGATTTTAAATGTCTAATTGGGTCCTAGTTCATGTTTGGTTCCTAATCGATCAGCAAGGGTGACCAACACACCATGCGCTTTGCCCCAACTTGACATTTTCCTCTCAGAACTGATAGTATGTGGCATTTTCACTCGCAATTATTAAATGACTTTTTTTTTCCTGAAACTAAATTGTAATTGACATCCATGGTTCATTAGTTTGTATGGTGGCATTGATAACACTTGAATATCTATGACCAGTGGTGGAAGAAATTTGTTTCCAGTAAGGCTATCCTTTCAGTGTGTGAAGTTTCTATGTCATGCCATTACTTTCTAGGTGATAGGGAGAACATCGTCAGTCAATCGTCATCCTCTATGTGGCCTCCACGTGATGTCTAGGTTGGACTGAGGCCATCTTCCACCTGTCTACCCACGTGGACAAGGGTCGAAGGTTGACGGTTATAGGTTGTCTCTCCTTTGTTGCTCATGTGGATAAAAGGCCGAGGGGAGATTGTTGGAGGCGGTTAGAGGATACCTACCCGTAGAATATTCTGTCTCTTTATGACCAAGTATAAAAGCTCATCTTCAACACAATGAAAAGGGGAGATCATTTTATGATAATTTGTATCCAGACTTATATATCTCGGGTTATTAACTTGGTCATTTGAGGGATCGGGTCGGAAGATCCGAAAACCTCTCTCGACCTTGGTTTTCGTGCATGTGACGCCTCGGGAGCTCGACGTTTTCACCTCGGGTAGCCCTACGCACATGGGTTCGGACCACATTGGGCTAACCATGATATCAACGACTTCTTCCCGTAACATTTTTTGCGCCCTAGAAACGACATTGAGCCACCTACTCGTCCCCATCGAGGTGTTCTTAAATCACACTCAGCAAGTACATACGCTAACATGAATGATACAGGCCGTTGCTATGCTTTTGCCCTAGTTAGCCCAACAGGCGGTGCCATCAGCTCGGTCGCGGTTCCCCGACCTGACGTGGGGTCGACATCCCTTGAGTGGTTAAGACCTTTCGAACTATCGGCCGAGGGGGCACTTCAGTCTCCAATTGTGGAATTCAACGGATCACACCCCTACTCTACCCTACCTACATCCGAGGCCCAATCGATAGATTCGATGGAGGATTCCTTGCGGATCCAACAATGGCATATGGATCAACGCTTGGAGGAGATGCGATAAGAGTTCCAACAATCAAAAGGGGAAGCGCTGGTTGACCTCACCTTGAGTCGGTCGTTGTTCACTTAAGAAATCCAGGATGAATTGATTCCAGCAAGCTTTTGCCTCCTGCCCTTGGAGGCTTTTGATGGCAATGCTGACCCGATGAAGCACATTGTAGCTTTCTATGCCCAAATGTCGTTATATAGTACTTCGGACGTCTTGATGTGCCGCACCTTCCTGATGACGTTAAGAGGCTTAGCACGAGTATGATATGCCTGCCTAAAGTTATTTTTCATCTATTCTTTTGCATAGCTTGCGAGGGAGTTTGAACTTCACTTCCTCGAGAACATATGCTCACGACCATAAGCGACAATGCTTCTCGAACTCAGGCAATGGGAGGAACGAACGACCCGAGTTATCTCGCCCAAGGTTTGAGTTGACCCCCCTAAATATGATTAGAATTGAAGTTTTTCTACAAATAAAAGAAAATAGGCTCTTAAATGACCCTCATCCGGTGAAGACCGCATAAGCAAAAAGAGACATGCCCAAGTATTGTCGGTTCCACCGAGATTATGACTATGACATCGAGGATTGTCGCGACTTGAAAGAGCAGATTGAAGAACTTATTCGTCAGGGACATCTTGTGCAGTTCGGGAAGAGATGTAAAGGTTGGGGAA